GTGCAGTTCCATCGTTCCTCCAAGTACAGTGCCAGTTGAAGGTAGGGAAAAACTTAAACTACCCAACTGGAGGCCAGCCACTTGCGCCAAGACTCCTTGCCAGTGTCTGTGATGACGAGCGTCAGATACTTGAGCTTGATTTGTATTCCACGGACCTTCATTTGTAGTAGTAGTAGTAGTTTTCTTCCTTTGCGTTCTTTTTCTAAAGCTGTTAGTCGTTCGCTGGTGTTTCGGTTGCAAAGAACTGAACACACGTTTGCTACTTTTAAACTGTTGACTGAAAAATTCGTCAAGTTTATAGTACATCTTTAACAAATCTGCAGTGGTTGATTTACTGATCATGATCTGTAATTGATCCCAGCCTAAGTCACCGTGCATGAAAATTACTGCAGGTCTCCTAGTTGGCATAAAAGCGTCTCCACTATTATTACGACTGATCTTCCATTCGTCTCTTAATGTAACGTCCAGTGAAGATACTCGAGACATCAGCACGCTTGTTCCCATGTAATCCAGTCGCAACTCCAGTGCGAATAATTTTAAACCTACAGTGTGATCAGGTTCTGTTCCTGGCTCTTCACGAATGTGTATGTACGTGTCGATTTCGCTGAGCTCGATGATTCCACCCACGATACCGCCCTTGGCGTCTAGACTGGAGCCTCCTAATCCAATTCCGATGAATAAATTCTTGTGTCCTGTACTCCCGATTGATAGTCTACCGTCAGAGCGAAAATCTTTGGTCATCCATGTTACGTTGCTCCTTAAACGCTTCTTACCAGATTTGAAATAAACTAAACAATAATTCTCTCACATACTTACTATATACAACATGTTTAGGAGCTCCTAAAAAGAGTTGACAACAAACAATTATAGAAGAATTGACAGAACTTAAAGAGATTCATAATAATTTACAAATATAAAAAGAGAAATAATAAAACATTGAAGAAGTCCAACAAAACTTTGCAATTTGATTAATTTTACGTACCAATAACAACCGGAGTTTTTGCAGTTTGTAGGTGTTCGGTTTTCAGATGCAACTGCAGTGAAGGTAGAGCAAATATGACTTCCCTCGCATGTGAATGTTCTTGTAGTTTCCCAGTATTAGTCGAGGTGGTTCTACCGCGAGTCACATTCGCTGTATCCGACGTGCTGTCTGTCCGTTCCCTCTCAACACAGGGAAACCGATCAACAGCATCAATATCGCTGCTTGCGAATGCATAATGGAACCATTCTTGCAAGGATTTAAACTGCGGTGGGAATAAAACACTGCGACTGAGTTTGCAGACAGTGGCCATAGAATGATGCCTCGCATGCTGTTCCTGTTGTTGACCTAAACTAATAGTCAGAGTTTGTACAACGTGGACGTCGCGAGTATTCGGAGACTCGACGCTTGGAATTTCTTGAGCTTCAGTAGTAAAACTAATGCATGGTTCCTTCAACGAGAATATCGCCCAACTTTTACTCTTGAAATTAATCCCATGGAAACAGGCGAGGCTGATATTGCAACCATGTAATTCCATCGTTCCTCCAAGTACAGTGCCAGTTGAAGGTAGGGAAAAACTTAAACTACCCAACTGGAGGCCAGCCACTTGCGCCAAGACTCCTTGCCAGTGTCTGTGATGACGAGCGTCAGATACTTGAGCCTGATTCGTATTCCACGGACCCTCATTTGTAGTAGTAGTAGTAGTTTTCTTCCTTTGCGTTCTTTTTCTAAAGCTGTTAGTCGTTCGCTGGTGTTTCGGTTGCAAAGAACTGAACACACGTTTGCTACTTTTAAACTGTTGACTGAAAAATTCGTTTTGTTCCAGTACTACTTCCTTTACCTCAATAATAATAATAATAATAAAAGATTACCTAAACGTAGAAGGTTGCATATGAAAATATACTATCACATCCACTGGGAAGCTTGCGTAAACGTAATTACTGCTGGCTGCGGTGGCGGCCCAAGAAGTGCTCTCCATGTTCTCCAAAGGGAACACAGCATTCGTTTGCGCAGTGCTATGGAAGTTAGTCTTGCTCGGTATCGGTTCTAACGTCTGCTCCAAAAACTCTAAAATATGCGGGCTTATTATAGTTTCTTCCGGTATACTTTGCAGAGTCATCCAAGCAAACAAGCTGGCCTTCTTAGTGCTGGATTTCTTAAGCGCAGTTACAGACGAGGGATTAAGCAGGCTGTTGTCTGAAGATATACGAGGAGACACTGATTCCTCAGGCAGCGTTCTAGACTCGTAATGTACCTACATAAATTATTATTTAATAATTTATTATAGGATTTATAGTAAATTATTTATTTATTTATTTACCTTCACGTCTAATCCAGGAATATGAAAAATCGTTAAATCTACCAGAGGTACGTTCGTGTGTTGGAGATATCGCAGTCGAGATGTACTCGTAGTCGACGATTTTTCTTTACTACTTAAATGCTTTCGACTACTGCTAGGACTGCTCGGTTGGAATTCGAACGTCCCTCCTGAACACGATCGTTCTTTCTTCATTCTGCTCATACTGTAACAATGATTATTTAGTATAATTACATTAGAAAATATTGCAACACTTACATTTTAATCTCGTCTTCTCTCCCTGGATCTTTCGTATGGAGAACACATTTGCCACTGTTGATGAAAACCTTCACGTCGAGTTCGAAGTCTATGTTAGGCTCCTGAGCTTTCTGAGGTGTTATGTACGGAGATGAAGTCGACGAGGATTGTTCTTTTCCAAACGAATCGAGCAACGGGGCACTAGGAAAATTTAGAAGTACAATAATTTAGCCTATGATTTTATATAAAATCGAACAGAAATTGAATTCATATTTTATTTTTATACGTACTTTCCTTCCATACTGTCATAACTCGACGTGTAACTAATATCTCTGCTCTTCTTTCTTAATTCCACTCGTTCTCCATCGATTTCTATACTCTCGGGCCATTCCAGATCTCCTTCAGGCAAACTTAATTCAGAGCCAGCGCTCGGTAACGACGATTGTCTAAATAATAATAATATTGTTAATAATAGGAAATTGATATTGATTTAAATTATTGATGGGAACGTACCTGCCCATTGTGTGTGTGTCGCTGAAAGTGACTCGAGGTCCTCCAAGTCCTCTCACGCGAAGGGAAGCAGATCTGTGAATTAATATAATAATTTTTAATTAATAAGATTTTATATAAAAATTGTAATTATTAATGAAACTTTTTAATACCGGCTGGGACCGCTTCTGGGACTACTTTCGTAACTGGCAGAATTCGCTGAATTGACATCCATATTCATGTCTTCGGGACTTTTAAGCTGATTCTCAAGCGTTGGCGAGGGTACTATAAATGAACGTGATCGATACGTATTTGCTTTTCCACCGAGCCCTAATTTACCTTTTATTCCTGATGCCTTCACCGACTGTCTCCTTAACTTTTGGATCATGTTCCTGCATAAATTATACAAAATAATAACACCAAATTGCATGGGATTAATAATAATAATAATCGTACCTTCTGAAACCTTTGAAAACCATAGCTTCCAGTTCGTGTAGACGTTTCATTTCTTGTTCGATGGTTCCATGCGAAGCTCCTAAAGATCTTAAATCGTTTATAATCTTCGCTTGCTCGTTCATCTCTTTCTCAATCAATTTCGACCGCTTCTTTGCATCGAGCGAAGGATCAAACACGAACGCTGGTAGACTGTCCGTCCAGTTCTTCGATTTCTTCATCAATATACTCTCCTACAAGCAATTAAAACTCGATTAGCGAACGATTGAGACTCTAATACTTTAATAAAAGAATTATTACTACGTCTCAAAATGAAAATTCTACATCCTCTAATAATCGAAAACCGACTTCTAATCGTTTAAATACATTACCCAACCGGAGGGCGGAGAAACTATAGGATAAAATAAATAAATAGTTATACCATACTTTTTTCTTAACCTGGCTAGTACTATTATCTGGCTGATCTGCATCGTCGCTATCATAATCCGCCGGAACGTTAATATCGTCTTCCTCAGAGCCGGTTAACATCGTCAACGTGTGTCCAAGCGCTGACAACTGTTGGCCGACGTTCACGTCTAAATGAATATCGACGCCCTCCATTTTCCATTGTACATTCAGTATCCATTTAGCATTATCTGTAAATTTATTATTAATCATCTGCCTCTCAAAAATGATTAAAAAATTGAAAATTACCTGATTTATCTGGCTTTTGTGCAATCGTTCTACTACAAACTTCATAAGTGCCTTCTGATACCATACACAAATTCATTATACTACTATCAGTCACGTCTGGCTTCCAATCGTCCAAGGAGGTTTCAAAATCGTCGGCAAATCTCAAACACAGTCCCATAAATCTGCGTATAAATAAAATATTATTATTATATATTATTATTAGAATGAATGAGAATTTAGATATTAATTAGATTAAGTGTACCTTGCTTTACTGACTAAACTACCACTGCTGCACGCTGATATGCTCGTGTTCTCTAACGTTACTACGACAGCACCTCTCAGCTCTCCGTCGTACAACCCTCTGCCCCAAGTGAGCGGCAGGGGATTCAGTGGCACGCAAATGCCCATGTCGTCCACAGTCAGTTGCAAGAACAACGTACCTAAATGAGGGGCGCTTAATTGACTGGTTATCTGACCGAACGGCACCTTCTCGAACACCTGTTGAGTAGCTGTTAACACCTCCTTATTTAAATTCGCTCTTTTCTCGTTCCAATATTCGTAAGCGTTTTTATAATTCAACCAGACGAGTATAGCTTTGTCGATCGCCATCGGTTGAACGTATATTAATGGACGTTTCAAAGTGATCAGCACTACTTCCTTATCCTCGCCCTGTGCCATTTCTTCTTGGAAAGCATTTCGTAGACCAACTCTTGTATTAAAAAACGCAAACTGTTGAAACTCTGGCTCTGCTTCGTCGAATAACACGTTTTTTAATAACTGCCCGAGGCTCAGATTAATATCAAGTTGAGCTTTTCCGAATAGTTTCATGTACGGATTCGGTTGAGTGGCACCGGAGACGTTTTGCACTCTGTTCGACAATTGTAATTCCACTGCTCCTGTTTCTAAACGCACCGCAGAGTTCGTTGGAGTCGTCGCCGTCAATTGAATCCTCTGTTAAACAAACCTTATAAATGTTTAATCTTAAAAATTATAATAAATCTTATAATTACCTTAATACGAATGATTAACGTAAACAATATTCTTTTAACAGTCGTAT